AAATCAACCAGTACAAGAAAAAGAAACTGATAAAGATAGACTTAAGTCCATGGTGTATTTTTGATGAATTAATTGGACATGACTCATCTAAACATACACCTGTATCGAGAAATATACAAGAAGTCGACATGTATTTGTCTGATGATATATTACCCACAAAAAATTTCGAACGGAAATTGGAACTGTCCATTACCGTGGTGGAAAAACCATCGCCATGTATAACCTAACTTAAACCACTATATTCATAAAATATTGTAGTATTGTAACAAAATCTTTTCCTTGTAACACATGTTTAAAATCTGGTTTAATTTTAAATAAGAAGAACACGGTTAACAAGAAAAGTGGAAAAACTTATGTTTTTAAATGTCAATTTAGATCGATTCGCGATTTAATAATGTGTAATGTAAATGTAAGTACTATTTGTATTGTTTAATTTATTTTTCAAGTTATAATAAATGTATCCTTCGTTAGGTTCTTTCACTTCAATACTTATACACATATAATTGTGTACTCGCTAATTTGAATACTGGTAAACAATCAACTAGTTACAGTTTACGAAAAACGGTTCCGATTAAAAATTAAAAAACGGGAGGACCCACCTCTAGTTTTTTTAGGTATATTAGGATCGGAACCAGAGAATATGTAAAATATCTATGATCGGAACTATTCGTCTCACTAATGGCCAATGGGTGTTAAAAATATTTATGGAGGGGAGACCAAGGGGAAATATGATTTGTTATCTTTGTCTATTCGCCTGAACATATGATTATATATATCCGCGTTAGATATCCTGTTAAATTTTACCATACCGACCCATAAACTTTTAACCTACACTGTATATAGCATTAAAAGAATCAGCTACAAAAATGAATTTAACAATAAACACCAACAAAAACAAGTGACGCCTGTTAAAAATACAAACCGTCCGCTGATTAAAGATGGAAATGATAAATGAGAAACCCAAAAAAAAAACAGGTTTTTACAAAACAACCCGTCCAACACTTATTGAACGACCAGATCCACTCCAGGAACCAATGAGAATGCTGGAAGTATCCTGCGTGTGGCCACAAAACATATGGCGATTTTCATGTCAGGTTTCGATCCAAAAACGGAAGCTCAAGAAATACTGAACTATGAATAAAAGAAAGAAAACTGTATGCAAATGTTATCTGCGAAAAAATGAAAACCGGGACAGATAAGTACAAAAGTTCATTTAAAATTACTGTTCCAGAACTAAAAATACCCCATTTAATGCAGCAAGAATTATGGCCGAATGGTGAAATTTTTAACCGCTTTCACAATGTACAGAGGCACCCCAGTGTCAAAAGACAGTCTATGGCACACACCAAAAGAAATCATCAGTAATCCACTTAAATACGCAATCAATTAAAACAAGTATTGATGCCATTAATTTTATCCTAGAAGATCATGATGAATGCTTTGCTCTTTGTTTAACTGAGCACTGGAAAACAGAAGAACAACTGCGGGACTACAATGTGCGGAATTTTAAACTGATCTCTTCATATTGTAAAAGCAGTTCACATGAGCATGGTGACAGTGCGGTATACATCAAAGACACGTTTATTGCAAAAGCCCGGGAAGATATTTCTAGTTTATCAGAAAGAACGGTGTTTGAGTGTTCCGCTGCAGAGGTGCGAATTAATAAGAAGAAGATTGTAATCCTATTCATCTATCGAACAGAAGACCCACAAGTTTTAATAAACAAATTAGACCAAATACTTTGTGATTTAGTTGACAAGGATTCCATCATTTTTCTGGTTGGTGATTGTAACTTAGATATACTGCTTGAGGGTGCGAGGTGACCAGACACATTAAAAATGTTTTTGAGCTCCTTTGATATTAAACCTTCCATCAAAGACTATACATGCATACAAGGTAACAAAAAATCCTGTATAGATAATATTTTTACAAATCTTGACATATTTGATTCTCTGTATTCCATCCTCATACATCTGATCATACTGTTCAAAAGGTAAAATTGGAATTAATGAATTTGAGTCAAATATAACAAAAAAAACGAATATTTAGCAAGGAGAATAAACATTTTTTTAAATTCATGTTAGGTAATGTATACTGGGTATCTGTTTTTGAGACATTAGAAGTAGATAATCAGTGGGATGCTTCTATGAGTATAGTACAGAAAATTGTTATACAATGTTTTCCACTCAAAGAGATAAATACAGCAATTAAAAAAAATCACAATAGTACTTTAAAAATGATGATATAAAACATTGTAAATCTAGGCTTGATGTTTTGTTTACACTGTCTACCAATAATGTTGATTATAAAGATATTTACAAGACAGAAAACACAAATACAATTCTTTACTCACTCAATCTCGAAAAAATTGTTATAAAGAATGAATTAAAAATAGTGAAAATAAAACTAAAATGGCTTGGCAATTAGTAAAAGAGATTAAGGGTAATTCCAAAAATCAAGGTAATTTCTGTGTGGAGGGTGACCCTCAGGTGCTTTCTAACGAAATATATCAATTTATGGAAAATGCAGTGCCAGAAGCTGTAAAGAAAATAAAGCATGTAAAAAATTTTCAAATTAATATCGAACAAACTAATCATTGCATGTTTTTAACTCCCGTTTCAGAGAAAGAAATAAGTCACATAATAAATAACTTAAAAAACAAGTATAGCTCTGGTTATGATGAAATATCAACCAACCTAATTAAATATGTATCATCAGAGATTTCTCTTCCTCTTTCTTGTATAGTTAAGGCTTCTTTCAGGCAAGGTAAATTTTCCTCAAAGTTTAAAACTGGCAATTGTCAAGCCGATGTTACTAAGATGGAGAACTATAGACCAATAAGCCTTCTTCCATCATTCTCAAAAATATTCGAAAAGTCAATATATTTCAGACTACAAAACTTTTTTACTATAAACAACTTATTTAGTAGTTCACAGCATGGTTTTCTTGTAGGGAGATTTGTCGAGACAGCTACCTATGATTTTATATCAAAAATTTTAGAAAAGCTGGAGGCAAGGATGAAAACACTAGGTGCTTTTTTGTACCTATCTAAGGCTTTCGATAGCCTAGATCATGTTCTTTTATTATAAAAATTACATCTTTATGGAATACAGGGACCGGCATTAAAATAGATAAAATCATTTCTCACAGATAGGTCGCAAAAGGTATGCCTGGAGAAAAGGGGATGTAAGGTTTACTCTGAACCGATCAATTTAAAATTAGGTATACCACAGGGGAGTGTCCTGGGGCATCTTTGCTCTTTTTGGTCTACATAAACGACCTTCTAAATGCGGTGGTTAGTAGTTCCTCAAACCTTGTAAATTTCGCTGATGACTTAAATGTGCTTTTCTGGGAAAAAACTTTAGAAACACTCCTCACAGTGGCAGAGCAAATTCTAAGCAAGGCTGAACGGTGGAAATCGGTTGTTGCTTAATACTGATAAGACAGTTTTTGTCTACTTTAACCAGCCAGTCACGAGAACAGTTTCCAGTTACAATTAATTTTCTATCACAAAACACGGAACCTGCTAGATGAGGTAAATTTCTTTGTATTCATATTGACCAGAATCGGAATTGGAGGGAACAAATACAAAATACAACAAAAAAACTGAATAGAGCATGCTACTCATTAAGAGTGTTAAAGAGCTATCTAGACCAGAGGATTTTACTCAATCAGCATATTATGCAAACTTTTATTCTGTTATGCGATAAGGAGTAATCTTCTGGGGTGCTGCAATAGATAGCTCAACTGTCTTAATAGTCCAAAAAAATGTAGTCTCGGTGATCTTAGGACTAAAGACGGGAGAATCCTGTAGAGGCTGATTCAAATAACTCAATATACTCACTTTCTCAGCCATCTATATATTTGAATGTATTATGTTCCTCTTTAAAAAAATTGTCTTTGTTTTGTCACCTGCTTCCCAATCATGAATATAATACAAGAAGCCTTAATTTGAATTTGCCACTTCACAGATTGTCTATAACAAAAGAAGTCCTTTGTATGCCTGTGTTAAATTTTATAATAGTCTACCATCTGACATTCAACAGGAAACATGCTATAGAGCTTTTAAAAAGAAAGGTTATTCAACACCTAGTTGACATTGAGCCCTATACTGTAGCAGAGTGCCTGGTCTATCGTTCTCCTTGATCAGCATATTTAATTTGTAATGTTAATAGATTTTAAATAGGAGGACAGTGATGGATAGGTGTGACTAGAGAGAAATTATTGAGGAAGCTAGAACCTATGCAACGTTGTAAAGCCAGAATGATGATGATCAGCTCCAAGTTTAACCAAACAGTTTATATTGTCCTAAATATAAATTTATTAATAAATATTTATCAGAAGTATAATAAAACCAAGAGATTTTTAAAATTAATGTAGGTATATTCAGAGGTGAAAGTGTTATATAGAATAAATTAGTTATGGTAAATAATTAAATTGCATTTATTAGATCAAAGACTCATTGAATGTTTATGGTAAAATATGCAGATAAATAGTGCAAAAATGATTATTTTAAAAGCTTGTTTCAAAAAGTTGTAAAAGCAACTACTGTTATTGTTTTATTGATAAATAGCAATCAAGGTCCTTTTTTGAATAATAAGTAGTAAAAAAACAATTTAATTACTAGTTTAATGGTTTTATTAAAGTAAAAGGTGTACTATCATGTAATCAGATGGATGTATTTTAAATGTCTATAAGAATTTTACCAGATGTATAGCTTGATTTCTAAGCTTTCTCATCTTTTAAATTTGTTTGTCTTCAACCTTTTTAAACCTACATATCCTAGTGCTCTAATAACTTTGAAGAACTGGTTTAAGGTCATATAGAACACATGTATATTTTACCTAATTTAAAATATGTTAATATATGGAACAATATGACATTGGCCTGTATACAAACTATTTGCATAGTTTAGGGTTTAATGTGCACAGATTAAACTTGTCTAAGTTAAAAGTTCAGTTTATTTTTAGTGATAAGATTTTAATTGGTTATTTACTTACCTAAATCTTTCCTGTCCTGCAGTATCCCAAAGTTGAAGCTTTATCCTAGTGCCATCTTTCACTTCAATGAGCCTTGCAAAGAAATCAACCCCGACAGTTGGGTCAGACACCTAGGAATTATTTTATGATTAGCCACAAAGAAATTAAATTGATATTTATTATAGGTACCTCAGCGAATTTTCCATCAGTGAAATATTTGAGTAAAGAACTTTTTCCTACAGTACTGTCACCTATTAGTATTAGGCGAAATTGGTAATCGAATATTGGTTCTACCATTTTATAACATTATTTATCACTGGTATTAATTTAGTTTAGAAAATAATACGAATGTACTATTAGAACTCGATTGTCTATTCTAAATTGAACAAGATCAAAATACAATGGCCTGTTTCTAGATTTCGTTGTCGTCTGTCACGTCAAATGTCAAAGAAAATAAACAAGTGAATGTGCTTGCCTTCAATGAACAGGGGTGGCTCAGCTCGTAAGATAGGAGTAGAGTTGGAACCATCGAGAATCGATGGTTGGGACACGAGTATTTCAATATAAAAGGGTCCCTCTTTAAAATCATATAAGTAATTTTTTAACGTTTTCTTACATAATTAGGGAAGAGTGGTACACAATGACACATTTTTTTAGGAAATGTGCTCTAACATCGGAATGCAATCTTCGAAAAAATCTCCATTTAGAGTTTTGTTATCTGGGTACATTTGTCTATCAAATTTGATAGTTATTATAAGTAAAATATAAATAGTAACTTAGAAATTTTCATAAATATGAAATACTGAATTTGTTTCAATGTGTACCACCGGTGGTACAGTTTGAAACATAAGGTAGTACACAATGAAACGTATTAAAAACAACTATTAAATACAAAAAAATGTTTAATATTTCTTCAAGTTACCGTACAATAAAATTGTTAAACTCCAAACCAAATCTATAATAGCAAGATAGTCGTTTGTTTTTTGTATATATGGGTGCTGGCAATAACATAACAAAATCAGATTTCAAACCCATATGAATGTCAGGAACATCTGGAAAGTAAAATGAATTGGAAACTTTCGTGCTTCTTCTCAAATATGAAATTTTAAATTCATAAGAGTTCACAATTTCCAAAATTTTGGCGACATAATGGATGTTCTTCTCAAATTTCACTAACACGAAAGAGTCTTTTAAAATTTCAGTATTTTCAGCAATTGCGTAAGATTCTAAGTCATCATTTTGTTCCTGCATCATAGGAGAACTTAATTCATCATCTGAAGAGTCGGCCAACTCTAAACTTCCGGAGTCTGTTTCTGAATCACTTTCACCTGACTTGGTCTTTTTTCTGGGAGAGTCCTTTTTACAGGCTTTTGTGCTTAAAGCTTTACTGATATTTCGTTTCACTTTATTAACTGCTGCTGTTGTCGGAGTTTTCTTACCTTCCGTTTTATAAGAAAGGTCTTTCATTTCTGGTGTACTAGTTAAAATGACACTTTTCCTTGATTTCCGTCTACGATTTGAATTTTTTCTGGGTGCGGCCTTAGGAAAACCCCGTATGTCGAATGGGGTAATAAAATAACTTTTTGATGTCGAAGGTATTTCAAGAGTTGAGTTCGGTTCAGTTTCTTGGGTTGTATTAGATGAAGTAGAAGCTGTATTAACTGAAGATGAAGATACAAATGCATTTTCTTCGTGATTGGTAGAATCTCTTAGTACAACCATAGCTTTTTGTCCGTCATACTTTTCAAAATCATTAATCGGTCTGTCAGTAACTGACGATAATAGAAAATCAGTTTCACTAAAAATATGTCTATTAAAAGGGTAGATACCTGTAGATTTGAAGCCGTTCATAATATTTTCAGGTGTCATTGATTTTGAGTGGGCAATACCAGCACATTCTGCTATTTGGTACAGTGTCATAGGAACGCCGGGGTGGTTAAGAAGCCATGAATCAATCGCACTATTGTAATAGTTTTTGAAGGAAAAATAAACTGATTTGTCCAAAGGCTGTATCTTATTGCTTGTATGTGGGGGCAAGGTTAAAACTATTATGCCATTAGCTTTTGCTTTTTCTGCTATTTCCAGAGACATATGGGATTCGTGATTGTCATATATTAATAAACACGGGTTTTCTTTTCTAGCACCAGTATGCTTAATAAAATGATCTAGTACTTGTGTGAATAGTTCGGCGGTCATCCATCCACTTGGATTAGCTAGTCTAATGTTCCTGGTGGAGCACCATTTAGCATAATCGTATTAAACTTTTTACGAGGAAAAACAATGACCGGAGGTAGAAATGTTCCATTTGCTCGAATTATTGCACAAGTAGTAGCGAGTAATCCTCTTTCGGCGCTTGTGCACTGGTTCAGCTGTTTAACACCTTTTTGTGCCACAACTTTATGTGGTCGTTGGACAGTCGTAGTAGCAGTTTCGTCTAAATTGTAGATGCGAATATCTTCAACAATTGATGTATTTTACGTATATTTGCTCCAAATTTACGAAAAAACCGGTCAACATTGGGTTTTGTAAATGAAGTAAGCCTTGACAGTGAACATCCTTCTGGCTTTCTGAGGCTTAATGATGAATTTCTTTTTATAAATGCCCTTAACCAATCTTTGCTTGCACATTTGTTGGCCTTCCAAGAGTCTGGCATAGTGATATTGTTTTTAGCAGCCATGTCATACGCCAATTCTCTAACTTTTAGAGTATTCAACCCAAAAGCCATTTTGCTACAGTTCTTAATATAATCACACATCGACGTCTCATGCTCTGTGTTAAATACTAATCTAACAGCATAATTTGGCTCCATTTTTGCATTTGGATCATTTTTTTTCTTTTAGAACGTATCGCCTTAATGTGCTAAAATTTACGCCAAACATATCTGCCGCAACGCGAAGTGCAGTTCCATTTTTTTTAACCTCTGTGACTGCTGCCGCCATTTGTTCACTTGTAAATTTGGCTCTGGATCTTTCTTTCTTCCTCCTTACCATGGTACACCTGCAATAAAATGCCATTGTTATAGAATGATTCAGTATGGTACACAATGAAACATGTGTCATTGTGTACCACCACTATATGTTTCAATGTGTACTACCACAGGTTTAAAGTTTCAGTTGGATGTAAACAGAAAACCCGGCAATTATTGGCAACGATATTTATAGGTTAAAAGGCATTCATCACAAGTATTGTAACGACATATATACGAAAATGAAAACTATTTATTTATAGGCAACATACCTTTTTATAAACGCTTCAGTTTTTAAATCTCAGGCACACAAAACAATAAAACACGTCGTATAATGTTTACTACTCCGAATATCAAAGCGAACTACTGTCGGCAGACGCAATGCATTATGGAGTATCCGTTGAAGCGCTAGTGGCAATGTGGCGGCAAATTTGATTTAGTTAATAACAGTGTTTCATTGTGTACTATGTGTCAATGTGTACTACTCTCCCCTAATATTATAGGCTTACCAGATTGATTGCGATCTTTAGCATTAAGACCAAAAACCAATATTACGAGCTTCTTGGAGAATTACGGTTATAGATTCGGCGGTGGACTTCTTTCATGTTTTTAATCTTTTCAATTTTTTTTTTCGGGCCCTTGGCCAAAATTTCAGCTTTATTTTAGCCGAACGCTGTCATATAATCGATAGGTGTCTAAAGCACCTTAATAGGACAGTCTCTGTACCCACGATTTACAGAAATAACGGTACGATCCTATGAATGCAGCCATAACGCGCGGTGTCAGATGGGAACCTCGATTCTAAGGTAGCAATGCTAAATATAAAAAGAATTTTGTTTTTATTATTTTTTAAAGCGAAGCTTCTATACTGGCGTTTTGTTACTTTTCTCTATAGTAAAATGCTTAGGCGATCGTCACGAAACTAGCGTCACGAAATAGTTCATTTACGCGACGAGAGGAGTCCGTTATATAACATATTATGAATTTTTTATTTTATTAAAATTATATCAAGGATACTTTTAATGTACAAAAATTGTTAAAATTTAAATAAACTTTGTAAGTTGATTATTGTAAAAAAATTATAAAATAAAAAAAATAATACTTTACTACTTTTTGCTGTAGCGTAAAGTGTGGAATATCGACTACTTAAGACAAAACTGTTATACATTGTTTGCTATAGCTTTTACGAATTTGAAACTTACAATATGGACATTTAGTTCATTCAGTTAACCAATTACTGCTTCAAAAATGTTATAAAAATAACAACACTAGAATCCTAAGATTTACTAAACGGCGAAACAGAATTTAAATATATACCACTGTGCTTTTTAAGACTTGCAAGGCAGACCTATTGATGAATTATTCCGCAAGGGAATTTAAAATATGCATTCCACATGCCGTTCTCATGGTCAAAAATCGTAAGAATAATAATTTAAAAATACATATTTTGAAACTCAACAATTTGGGAATATCGATCATCGGTAAATCGACAATGGAGGTGGTAATATCGATCAAGGAGGGAAATATCAATCACAGATGGACCAGTTGGACATAAAATACATATTTCTTTAGTTACATTTATAGTTTGAGCAAATATAAAGAGTAGCAGTATCCGCTTCCGTGCAGTCTGCATGATCCTCAGAGACCACAGAGACGACATCTCCACCATAATTCATTTGATCCAAACTCCGAACATACTGCACATAGTTCACGTTCTCGTGTTTGGTGTGCTTTCACGCCATAAGTCTTCTTGTTGTCTAATTTTTCTGTTTTTATCTTAGTAGCTCCAATTGTTTGTTGGAACTTTCTTAACCTCATTCTTCTTTTGCTTTTTTTGTTTCTTATTTTTTAATTGTTCTTTTAATGGTGTTGATATAGTCGAGTGTTGAGTTTACCTGCTTTTAGTTTTTGTATAACTACTGACTGGTAGTGCCGGTAGAGGGCATAGTTCACTGAAAGATATACGAGATAAGCTTTCAGTTTTTAGCTGCACAGATTTATCCTTATCCTCGCTCAGATCAGTGTCTGAAACTTCCTCTGATTCTGATTCAGATAAAGAATCTTCTGATGATGGTGCTGCTTTTGGTCTTATTTTTTTATTTTGGACTCCACTGGGCCTGGTAGTTCATCTAGGAAACTGGTGTTGGCGATGGTTTTTGATGTTTATCGGACAGAGAAGACACATTATCTTGATATTGTTTAACTACTGTTATAGATATTAATTCTTCTTCACAAAAAACATCTGGATTGAAGGAAAAGATCCCTGTGGTTCGAAAACCATTTACAGCCTTCTCAACAGACACAGCCTTATTAAAGGCATTTTTAACAAGTTCCGCAACGTCTGTTGTATTGATTTTCTCATATTTTTTTTGTTTTATATACTTGTCGCATTCTTGTAGTAAGCTGTCTTGAGTGAGAAAAAACGTGATATCTAAAGGCCGAACACGGTGGGAGGTGTGCGGTGGCAGTGAAAGGAGATTTATTCCGGTGTCGCGACAAAAATTGTAGGAAGCCTACAATTAAGCCCTTAAATGCGTTGTGTGGTTATCTAGTACTAAATGAACTGGATAGTCTTTAGAAGCATTAAAATGCGGCTGAAAATGTTTTAACCATTCAAAGAAAAGTTGTTTCGTTATCCACCCTGATTTGGAACATCTGTATATTGCCCAATAGGACCGTTTTTGTCCAAACCTTTTTTCATCCGATTTCTTCTCTAAATAAACATATGTGGAATATATTGATCTGAGGCACTGAAAGCGCATATGATCGTCGTGGTTTGTCCTCATTCACTACTATTAATTGCACCAACTTGTTTCTGGCCTTTGGCAGCAACAATTTTACAGGAATATGAACATTACTGATACCTGTCTCATCAACAATTAAAAATTTGATGAAATTCAAATTTGTAACGATCACATAGAGTTGCCAAGTTTTTGTAAAATATCTTTAGTTCTTCACGATTAAAAGCAGTAATTCTACTCAAACTTGTTGCTTCTGGTTTAGGCAAACTGAGTTCTGGAATACGGTGCATAAATGAATTTTTTCCACACATTTCCGTTGCGATTTTAAATGGATGTTTAATTTTTTTTACTCTGCATATTCAAAAACCATTTGACGTATGGTATGGGACGTAAGGCACAAAAAACGCCTTTGACAGTTCCAAAATTCTAGATACAAATTCGGATTCGTCCCCGTTGGTAAAGACAGCTTTTCGTCCTAGTGTAATTTGCCTCTTCGCCCCATGAGGACCGTGTTGTTTTTCTGTGTAATATTCGTGGCATCTGCAATCAATAACATCAACTGAGACCTATATCACAATTAGGGTAATGTCGATCACGTGGAGATACAATCGACCGTTACGGTCGATTTTATCCGAAAGTGTGCTCATTATTGACATGAACTTTTTTAGAAAACGCTTAACCTGAAATTACGTGATTTTGTGATATCTGTATTCTAGAAATATGTTTTCATGCATTGTGAATACTAAAGTGCTGGCTTCAGCTAATAAAGGAGTTCTTACCTTAAAATACGATTCTAGAATCTTATAAAAATCTTCACAAAACAGAAAATTTAACTAGACATTGAATAAGGACTATGTGTTCAGTACCCACCTGTTGTTGATTGCGTTTAACATGTGCGCATTCGTTTTGCTATGCGACGTTAATTAAATGAAATTTGAGAGTGATCGATATTACTCTGCGGTTGATATTATCCCACCTTCCCCTAATATACCAAGTATAGTTCGAAAATTTAATTTTAACCAAATATATAAGGCATTTATGGTTAATATTGCTGTAAAAAAAACAGCGGTTTAAAAATATTACATTTAGAAATTTTAGTTGCTAAAAGTTGACAATCTTTAAAATTAAGAACAACAATTTTACCAATTGAGAAAGTCCTCGCCAGTACTTTCTCTAAGGTTTTTCTCTGTCAAACCCACTTATTATCAGTTGCCTAATATTACTCTCGTCAAGAGTTTCTTCTTTTTTTTGAAAATATAATCATTACTCCTGAAAACGTTAAAACATCATCATCACAACATCAGTTTTTTAACTCGGGAGTTTCTTTATCGGAAAATTAAGAGATAGACGACAATCAAGCAGGAGTAACTCGGAAATTTCTGTTTATTATCAAAATGTGAGAGGTCTCCGCACCAAATTAAATGATTTTTCATCATCTGTTATTGCCAACGATTATGATGTGCTACTATTAACCGAGACCTCTCTGTATGATGGTATAGAGGATGGAGAATTGGAGTTCCAGAGTACAATAGGATATACAGAGGGGATAGAAATGAAAGTACCAGTACAGCTAAACGTTTGGGTGGTGCTCTAATTGCTGTAAAAAAGGAATTTGTTTCTTCCAGTAATCACTTCAAAATCAGCCAACATTGAAAGTGTTTATGTAAAATTGCAAACACCAAATCAAAAAATCCTTTTTGTCTGTGTATATATACCACCATCATCTCCATTAAGCGTTTATGAGGACTTTATTATGGCAACTGAAGATATTATTCAAAATAATGACTTTCAATGTCCTATATAGTGGGTGATTTTAATCTACCACAACATAGTTTGGGACAATGAAGATCTAGGATCAAGGATCAAGATCAGTTGGTAATATTACATAATCTGTTGTGTGGTATGTCAAATTTTATTGCTTATTTTAACTTATTTCAAAATAATACAATATCGAATGTTTTAGGAGGTTATTTGGATTTTGTCACAATAATGTTGTAAATGTCAAATGTGTTGATTTTTCCTTTGTTAAACTGTGATAAGTACCATCCAGCACTTCTTTCTGTATTGATTGTAATAAAACTGAGTTCCTTGAATATGATTATTATTATTACGATTTTAATAGGCCTAATTATATTTTAATAAACCAATTTTTAGGTAATGTAAACTGGGACAACTTACTCGACAATATTTCAGATGTTAATAAAGCAATATCCTGTTTTTATGATATTTTGTACTGTTGCATAGATTTATATGTACCAGGGCAAAAATGTAAAAAACCCAAAATTTCCAAATCATATTCAACTGAACTGAAAAATGCTATTCTGAGAAAAAAAGTAGCTCATGAAAAATTCAAACATACTAATACTTTTTTTGACTATCAACTATTCTCAGACATTCGTAGTGAATGTAAAGTCTTAGCCGAGCAATGTAAAAGTCAAACCATAAAAACTTTGGAACAAATATGACTAATTCCAAAGAATTCTCAATTATGTACACAGTAAAAAATAAACATTATGACTTACCAAACAAAATGGCCTATGAAAACAATGAGTCAAACAATGCCATCAGAAATTTCTAATTTTTTTAAACAGCATTTCTTCTAAGTCATATGTAGATAACATTAACTGTGATATTCCAAGCTTTGATTTATAATAAAACAGTTAGTTTAAGCAGCTGTGATATTAGTCTAATAGATGTTTTTTAATAAGTTAAAATTAAATCTAAAACTTTAGTAGTGGCCCTGATGAAAATTTCGCCTGATTTTGTACATAAATGTCGTTTTGTTCTGTCTCCTGTATTACTAAAAATTTTTCGTTTTTCATTAAGTACTGGCACTCTTCCCAGAAGAGTGGAAAAAAAGTTATATTTTCCCTATTTTTAAGAAGGGTAGTAAAACATGTATAGAAAATTACAGACCCATTTCCAAAATTTCTATTTTTGCAAAGATTTTTGAGTCAATTATTGCTTCAAAAATATTTTTTCCAATAAAAAGTTTAATTATTCCTTAAACAACACGGCTTTAATGCCGGGTAGGTCTACGACCACCAATCTAGTGGTCCTAGAAGAATTCATTTTGGATGCCTTTGGGAAGGGGGCCTCAGGTCGATGTGATCTATACCGACTTCTCAAAGGCATTCGATCGTGTTAACATCAAGATTCTTATAAAAAAAACTAGAGGTACTAGGAAATTCATGGATCCCTGCTTGAGTGGTTGGAGAGTTACCTGACAGAACAGGCTTCAGGTTGTCAAAGTCAAGAACTGTCTTTCTAAGAGATTTTGGTTAGGTCTGGCGTCCCACAAGGTGGTCATTTATCAATTTTTTTTTTTTTTGGTTCATAAATGACATTTTAGAAATCTTTGAAAAATTATGTTTATTTTGTTGTATGCTGATGATTTGAAAATTTTTAGAATTATTAAGGATGTTAGAGATTGTGTAAAAATGCAAAAAGATGTAAACAATTTCTCATAAATGGTGTACAAAGAATGACCTCTTCACTTAATATCGATAAACGTAAAAATAATGCGCTTTTTTAGAAACTCCCAACCTATCTGTTTTTAATTATAAGTATAAACTATACATTCGTCCCAGTTCTGGAATATTGCGGAACTGTTTGGTGTCCGGTATTAGTGCGCAATCGTAATACTCTCGAAAACATATAGCGGCAGTACACGCAGTGCACTAGGATGTCTTTGTCGCTCAAGACCTACGTATACAGAAAGACTGAATATGGCCAATCTCTCACTACACATTGGACAACGTCGACTTCAAGGCGATTTAACTACTAAGCTTCGGATAGTAAAATACAACTTTGGAAATGTGGGGATATGTTTATACTAGACAATGACAATCATCTTCGTGACCACAAACTTAAGTTTAAAAAGGAAACTTTTAACAACACCTAGCCAATTTTTTCTCTGTAATAGAGTGTTCTCGATATGGAATAGCCTTTTGACTGAGATCATAGTTGCTCCATTTGTCAATATTTTCAAAAATAAACTGGATGACCATTTGCTCCATAGTTGAACCAAAGAATATAGACGCTTAAAAGCGTCTATATTCTTTGGTTGAACATTTAACATGTATTCACATGGGTATATGGGTTTTGCGACCCTGCTCAAATTGTAAAATAAATAAAAATAAAACAAAAATAATAAACAATAAATATTTGATGTTGAATAATACAACAGTCAACATCACGTCAACATCAAAATTATAATCTTAGAATAAATTATTCCATTGTATTACTGGTTGCATAATGCTTCACTCAGTTATTTAAACCCAACACAACATCACAACAATATGCCGCCAACCAAACCATAACCTTAAAATATTTGTTTTTGTATATAAACTAAATAGGAAATTTTAGATTTAATCATCAAAATGAATGAAGAAGCTATTATTGGGTACCTAGATTTATAAAGTAAATGAAGTATTTAATTAAAAATCATTTGTTTTAGTAAACCAGAGGGTTACCTGATGAAAATAGTTTGGACAATCCAGAAAAACAAAAGAATGATTCCAATCCGCCTACTATTCCTGAACAGAAAACAATTGAAAGCGAAAAAAAGTTAGAGCTTCCAGGAAATTGTTACTGGTAATCACACTTATTTCTTGGTAAATTCACTACAGTTGATATTTTTAAAATTTTTTGTTTTAGTGGCAAAGACAGAAATTTGAATCTTATTGAGCTATTATGTGCAAACTGTAATCGATGGTACCATGAATCTTGTATTGGCCATCGGTTGGGAAAATTAGTACCATTTATGTCTAATTATATTTTTCTTTGCAAAAATTGTTCTCCGACAGGGCTAGAAAGCTTTAAAAAGAGTCAAGCACGTAAGTTTTAGTTTGCATTTAATGTTTAGATCATATGAATATCTCCAATTCAACTAGAAGTAGGTTTCAATAATATTTGCACATTTAACTAAATTACTCATATTTTCACCTTAGTCTAAAATGAAAAATAGACCTCACTTCTGGAATACCACATAGACAAATTGAGGCTGTTTTATTTTCATATCAGGTAAGATTGTCTTGAAAACCGTTTATATATCAGACCAATGAACTTTAAACTTGTAAGCTACGTGAATCTACCTGTTGGTAATTTTCTACGTATAATACAACTGAGATATATCTAAATGTGGCATTTAAAGAACTTGTTACATATTAAAAGCTGCTGTAAAATAGGTATCATTTTCACATCTCTTCTTTGATTTTTCGTTTGTTTCTCTTGCAAGAATCTTGTTCTTTAAGTGGTCTTCAATTAAATCTTTCATTTCATTTCTCTGTTATTCATTGCTGTTGTTTATGTTTTTTCACATAGGTCATACAAATCCTTTTTTGGTTAGAAGAATCCAAGGTTTAAATTTGTGTTGAATAAAGATCTATACATTGACAACTTAACGAATTGTTGAATATTTTTATTCACACAGTTCTTTTTATATAAATCATACACTTTTTTATATTTAGATTTGAATCTGGATATTGCCTCTGTGCATCTTTTCGGCAATAATGGCTTTCTACCCTCGGAAACATATTAATATGATCCATCGCTGACTGTTTTATTTTGTCAGATAATTTTTGTAGCACAGACATTTTTTCCTCTTTGATCTTCGCCAACTGTATTCAGTATTTTATCTCTTTAAGAAAATGCAGTTTTTACCATTTGATATGAAAGACATAATGTATTCAGGAAAAACATTTTACAAACTCTTTCCTTCTTTCAGAAGTACAAAGATAACAGAAATAAGACATACACCTACTTGATTGTTTTCTACTACTACCTGTCGATGTTTCTTTATCATCCTTATCGTCAACATCATTAGTGCAGTCCTCAGTTTTATTATTCCTTACTCTCGAGCGCATAATAGGCTTCTCCTCTACATTATTTATAATATATTTATAAAAAAAACAAGGAAAGTTTTGGTCAAAAAAAACAGCAAACAGCCAATTTTGGACATATACGAGTTCTGTTCTAAGGCAGTGATAAATGTCTTCATCAACAATTTCTACTTCATCTTTCTGTATTTTTAAATTGTTTACTGGGCATGCGGTTCGTCATGTATTTTGTTTGGTGGATCTTCTTCTTCCTTCAGTACCCAGCCAAGTATTGTATGTTGGCGATCATATGGGCAATAAAAACTTTGTTTACAGTTTGTGACTTACTCTATTCACTTAGCTCAGTCATATTTTGACAGATTCATTGTCGGAAACCTACAACACAACAATTCCTACTTCTCAGTATTAATAGCTCAAGTATACTCATCAAATTTTGGGTAGTATATATTTAAAAAATATATTTTAGTTGTTGATAATTTAATATAACTATTTATTATATGGCGCAGATAAATAAATATTGATTGTCTGTAATTCGCAAAGTTTATTTAATTTTATTTAATTAAAATATTGTTAAAAACATCACTGAGAAATTAAAATGCTATTGTAGGCAAGTTATATATCATAAGATAATTAATACCATCAATCCAAGGGGAGTATCTCTTAGAACACTTGATATTAACAATTAGTTAATTGATATCTACTAATGGGAGATGACAAAAAATGTGATTTAAATTCATCCTCAGTGGGATATATTGGTGAAGAGACATAGCAAGGAGCTATTTTATGAATCAAATTTTCAATAATAGTTTCTTTGTGCACATAAGTACAGATTTTTATTTTTTTTTTATTTTCTTAATTCTATCCCATATTTCAGTTAGATGAGTTGGAGTGTAATGTTTTAATTCCCGACAATTTGATTTGATGTTCCAACTTTTAGATTTATTAAAATAACAATTTTTTTATTTCAGAAACCCAGCAAATGTGCGTGACAGCAGTGGCGAATCTTCAACACAACAGTTTTAGAGAAGGTACAAATAGACTCTTATTCAACAAAGAAAAAGAAATTATTCCATACATTGACCACCATTGGGAGGCATTGACGACAACTTCACGAAGAGTCACACAAAGTTGGCATCTAACAGTAACCAAGGCACTGATTAAAGACATCCATATTCTCTTTCTTTTTGAAGACAGCCCTGCTGGGAACATGTATGGTTTAATGAATACAGATTTAACTCAGATTAAGCCTAATTATGAAGCTATGATTAAAGGTGGGATGTTGAAGGTTACTGATATGGGCATTCAGCACAGTAAGTATATATTTTTTAATATTTTATAGTATGTTTAAACAATTACATTTGGTGGATTAATTTAATTAGTTATACAAATTAGCAGTGTTTAGTATAATATAATTATTTTAACCAATTATTTAAAACACTGGGAAATAAGTAAATACTGATATTGATATTGATGATAAGAAAAACTACAACACTGGCGAGCGGTTTACCCCTCAAAAGACGCTGAGAAACAGAATATACCGACTAAAATTTTTTTTGCATTTCTAATGCACCAAACCTTTTTAATTCGATTCTATATATTTTTCCAAGATGAAATTGTATTTTTTTTTTAATTTTTACAAGTGGGCCGGCAATTGATATTAACAAATAACTTATATAAAAAAGCAATTTCACCGAATTGCTCCGGAATCAATTTTTTCAGGTGTATTTCATCAAAATAAACTCTTTTTCTCTCTTGATAATTTTTTTCGAAAAATGCTTCCTTTTTGAATTTCGCATTTTTTTGTTGAAAAAATGCCTTAATTAGTGATTTTTGGGATTTTTTTTTCTAAAAAACTACTAAATGAATTGCAATTCTACAATAGCTTTATAATCTTTAAACCGTCGAGTACAAGTTAGAATATTTTTGACAAGGATAATTTTTTTCTATCTTGCTAAAAAACGTGAACCCAAATATTTACGAATATGCCTTTCAAGCAGTCTAACCGCTAAGTGTGTACAGCGGTTGCGGCGATACAGGCGTGCGGCGCGTAGAAATATTTGTTTCAATTTAAAAAATTAATTCAATACAAATATTACGTACAATTTATAAAAAAAAAGATATTTCTAATTATTTTTATATAGACATATTATAATTAAAACAATTTTCCCGGTTTTTTATAGCGTTCTCCGCCTTCCGGTTTCCAGTTTCCAGCTACGTCGGTAATTCCATTCGCCAGGGTGAAGGTTTCTTTCCGACATTGCCTTCTGAATGCCGCCCAGCCAGGATTGTTTTGGCCTTCCTCTCTTCCTTCTTTCCCTTGGCGTCCATTTTAAAATTTGGTTTGGCAGCCTGTCGTCGTCCATTCTTTTCACATGACCATACCATATCAGTTGTCTCCTTTGAATTTCGTCAATGATGGTTGACTTGACTCCCATTATATTTCTGATATGGTCATTTTGTATTCTATCAAGCCTTGATTTTCTAGCTGATCTTCTCCAGAAGTCCATTTCTAATGCAAGTAGGCGTCGCTCAAGGTATTTAGTAAGTTGCCATGTTTTCGCATCCATAGAGCACTATACTTTTAAAGATGGAGTTAAAGAGGAGTTGCTTTCTTTGATTTGATAGTTCTTTTGACACATAGCATCGGGTTTAGGCATCCTATCACCCTTTTTCATTTCACGATTATTTTAAAAATTTTTCTCAAAGGAATTAGAATTAGAAATTCTTTCAAAATTAATTTTTTACAATGCTATAATAATGTAATTTTTCTTTTAATATAGGTGGTGACTATATTATTGAATTGTTTTATTACAGTGAAATACATTAAGCAATATATAATTAATTTTCATTGAAAAATATAATAAAATAAAAATATAATATTAATTATACATCGTTTTCATTGTCAATAACCTCAACCGCTGTACACGCTTAGCGGGATACTCTCGAAAGGCATATTCGAAATATTTGGGTCCACGTTTTTTAGTGAGGTATAAACCATTTATCCTTGTCAAAATATTCTAACTTGTACTCGACGGTTTAAAGATTATAAAGCTAGTTGTAAAATTGCAATTCATTTAGTAGTTTTTTTAGAAAAAAAAAAAAAATTCAAAAAATCACTAATTAAGGCATTTTTTCAACAAAAAATGCAAATAATTCGAAAAGAAAGTATTTTTCGAAAAATTATCAAGAGAGAAAAAGTGTTTTACTCTGATGAGATACACCTAAAAAAATTGATTCCGAAACAATTCGCTGAAATTGCTTTTTTGTATAAGTTATTTGTTAATAACAATTACCGGCCCTACTTGTAAAAATTAAAAAAAAAATACATTTCATCTTGAAAAATATAGAATCGAATAAAAAAGGTTTGGTGCATTAGAAATGCAAAAATAATTTTAGTCGGATTGTTGCTCTGCTAATAGGGGTAAACCGCTCACCTATAAACAGTGCAAGTGTTGTTTCGCCTAAGGCCTGGATCTTAAATCTTTTAATGCTTGTTTCTCAAAATACACTTTTAGCAGATAGACCCTTCTTCTAGCTACCGCCTCAATTATCTTTAATTTGATATAAAAAACATGCACATATATTACGAGCAGCTTATTTTATTTAACAAATTAATGAACGAAATTTTGTTCAAAAATTAATTAACATTAACTGAATTAAAACTATTTGCGGCCACTTTTTGACTGACAACCTGTTATCAATGTATTATCCTATTCTTAAATGTATGTAAGCTATGTAAGATTCTGATGGCTAGAGCTGCAGCCCCCGGCATCAGAATCGGGCGCGAGAGGCCAATCACCTATCCGCCTCAAATTACTAGATTTTCGAAACTTCTACAGAGAACAACCGGACGGATCCTTTGATAACGACCTTTGGCTTACGTAAACGGACAAGAATCGGATATTGGAACATAAAAACTATGATGCAAGCATCACGCCTTGCCCAAATTTGTAGAGAGATAAAGCATATAAAGTCGATATACTAGGTCTCAGTGAGACACGGTGGAATGGGACGGGAGAGCACGTCAACATGGAAGGCACCTGCTGATATACTCTGTAAAACAGATGGCGGAAGACATGAAAATGGAGTAGGAATTCTATTTAGTAAAGTCACAAAAAATTCTCTTGTGGAATGGAAACCTGTTTCAGAGCGAATAATCACTGCAAGAATTAGGACCAAATTAAGACTGGTAACACTGATTCAGTGCTATGCACCAACAGAACAAGCAACAGAACAAGAAAAAGAGGATTTCTACGAATGCCTTGAAGCAACATTAGAACAAATTAAAAGATCCGATATAAAAATAATGATGGGAGACTTCAATGCCAAGGTTGGCACTGACAACACCAACCTAGGACACGTTATCGAAAGCATGGCACTGGCCAGAGAAACAACAACGGCGAACGCTTCATTGAATTATGTGGTAACCATGACCTAATCATTGGAGGACTTTGTTCCCACACAAAACAATCCACAAGGTATCATGGAAATCGCCAGATAACCGCACCTACAATCAAATCGACCACGTTGCAATCAGTAAGCAATGGAGAACATCTCTCTTAGATGTCAGATCATGGAGAGGCGCAGATGCGGCCAGTGATCACTACCTGATGATGGCCGAAATTAGATTCAAAATAGCTAGGAATAGAAAAGAACTGAACAAACCTATTCGAAAAAAGTTCAACATTGAGAAACTACAAAATAACGAGACGAAAGTAGAATTCGCACGACAGCTGAGATCCAAAATCGACGAAAGACAGGACAAAAATTGGGAAACGATTAGCAAAGCCCTTGTGGAAACAAGTGAAAACGTGCTGGGCCTAAAGAAAGACGTAAAGAAAGAGTGGATTACGAGAGAAACGTGGAACAAAATAGAACGTCGCAAACACATTAATCTAGAATTACTAAATTCCAAGACAGCAGCAGAGAAGAACCGACTTAGAGAAAGTTATAGAGAAGCGAATAAAGCTGTCAAGAAGGCAGCAAAGAAAGACAAAAGAAAGTGGCAGAAAATCTTGCCGAAGAAGCGCGAGTCGCCGATGAACATCAAAACATGAGACAATTATATAATATCACTAAACAACTAGCCAATAAAAGATATACTACCCACCAACCAATTGTAAAAAGTGCTACAGGTGAAGATATTACAACGCCACAGGAACAAGTCAAAAGATGGCATGAATATTTTAGCGAATCTCTAAGTGCAGTCCCAACACCACCAGAAGACGCAGAAAACCTAATACCCAATATCCAACTGAGAATTAACACCAACGAACCAACAACGCAAGAAATAGAAATGGCCATAGAAAAACTGAAAGCACACAAAGCAGCCGGCCCTGACAATATTCCACCAGAGTTGTTAAAAGCTTGCCCAGGTACAGTGGCAGAGCTAATCCAACCACTCTTGAAAAGGGCTTGGAGAGAGGAAAAGTTCCCCAAAGAATGGAAAACGGGATTAATAATAAAGATACCAAAAAAGGGTGACAGAAGATATTGCGAAAACTGGAGAGGAATCACACTTCTGAATACTATAAATAAATTAACAGCAATAATTATAAACAACCGACTAACAAACAGTGTAGAACCAATGTTGAGGAAGGAACAAGCCGGTTTCAGACCAAACAGATCATGCGTGGACCAAATTAACACACTAAGAATAATTGTAGAACAGTCACAGGAATTCAACTCTCCTCTCTTTGTGTGCTTTGTGGACTTCAAGAGAGCTTTTGACACGCTCACACATACGGCCATATGGAAAGCACTGCAGGAAATAGGAATACCAGAAAAAATAGTAAATCTCATCAAAGAACTCTACAGTGACACAGAAAGCAAAATCCTACACAACGGCATAACATCTGACCCAATAGCTATGCTAAACGGAGTAAAGCAGGGCTGTGTTTTATCCCCCATACTATTTAACATTGTACTGGACTCCGTACTAACAAAGGTAAACTCTAATAGAGGAATTTACTGGGGATTAACAAACAGACTGGAAGACCTAGATTACGCTGATGATATATGCCTCCTAGCACATACAAAACAGGACATGCAACTCCAAGTAAACAAAGTACAAGAAGAATCAAAGAAGGTTGGTCTAGAAATAAACATCAACAAAACCAAAGAAATGCGATTTGGTACCAGAAACAACCAACCTATTATGATCAACGACCAGAAAATTGAGAGAGTAGCGGAATTTGTATATCTGGGCAGCATAATTGACTGTAATGGGGGTACAGAGCGTGATGTACATGAAAGAATAAATAAGGCTCGCAACGCCTACAACATGCTTAACAACATATGGAAATCCAGG